CGGAACCCTCTCTCTTTTTTATAAAAAAAAATAATGGAATGGAATTATATAAAGTTTATTTTCCAAAGCTATATTAAAAAAATTCTGAAATTATCATGAGCTTTATTACGCAAAACTAATGTGAGCCGGAGATTTTTATTTCATATAATTCTGATAATTTTATTCCAGCAAGGTGGCAAAGCTCCCAATTGATCGTATGGAAGATATTCTAGGTAAAACTATAACTTATTTTATCCTCATTCATGAATTATGAAGGAAAAATATTATATTTACCAATATACGCTCATTAAGGAAAGATATTTTATTTTTAACCCTATCCCAGTTGGACAAATTTACGTCGNCCCCCCCCCCGCTACAATTTTGAACTTAGAGTTGAAATAGGGAATTGTGATACATATCCTTTGTGCATTTAAAAGTAACAACATCGTACTAATTTTTTTAAGAAAAATTACTAAATCCACTTAACACTCTACAACTTTCCATTATTTTAAAATATTATTTTATACATTCTTTGCTTTTAAAGAAAATGTTATATGCCTTATGCGGAAAAATTTGCAATTTGAATTTTTCATATTGCAATAATTGAATATATACGTCTATTTGTTTTTGTTCAGATCGAAGTGATCTATACTTAGCTCTGCCAAAAGGTTCATTTTTTGTCACTCTGATGGAATTTGCAACAGAGGTGATTCTTGTTATTTTTAAAACAAGCAAATAAATTCGTAGATCAAAATTAATTTTATTTCAGGGGGTGTACAAACGACTTTATGAGGAAAAGGTAAAGAGACCATAGAACTGTTGAATAGAAAGACGACATTTAAAATCCTTATGTGTATTTAATGTTTTTAGAAAGCAAATAGTTTTAAATTTGACAGTTTGAAATTCAAATTCAAAGAATAGTTTTGTCAGTAACCATTATGTCAACTGGACCAAATATGTACGCTGAACATTAAACAATTAAAACTTAGATAAAAAAGTCGGATTTATGGTTTTGATATAATCGCCTACTATGCTGTGATTGCACTAAGTTTTTGGTCAAAGAAAATTTTGCCATGATGCATCTATATCTATAAAAGTTGTAATCACTGTTTGTCTGTTTTATTGTCAGATCATAACTCAAGAACCCCATAACTGATTTGCCTCGAATTTTGATTGGGAAATTTAAATTTCTTAGTTGAATAGTTTGACTCTCTTAAAGAAAACTTTGTTTCCAAGCAAAGCTGGGTTTCCAAGCTTGTAATACTATAAATTCAAGCTTACAGAAATTACATATAATCATCAGATTACATCTCAGATTAATGTTAAGCACCTTAAATGTAAAAAAAACTGGAATGTTTTTGAATGAGCTCCAAACTATGCCCTGCACCCCCCCCCCACCTCCTCCCTTTGTGCACGTCCTGTAAAAATTACTTAAGGAATTGAGTTTTTACCACAACTGAAATTTTCTAATTCCTATATATTTGCAACCTGATGGATCACACCTTTTATATTTCAAACTTAGGCTATTTAGTCTAATAGAATTTATAGTTTGAAATATTAAAGGCCTAGGATTTCCAATTCCAAAGATATAGAAATTATAAATGGAGTTTGCGCTAAAAACTCAATTCCGTGAAATGAAATTCGAAATGCAGGTGAAGGGTAAAGAGTATGGAGTTTTAAGCTGGTCAGATGATGAAGTTCTATTAAAAGCAATTCAGGTCATAGCAATACTTAAACTATTCTTAAAGGGACTGTAAGCGTGTATTCAAGTGACCCTCCATGCAAAGATGGCAATGCCTGATTTACAAACGTACCCTTGAAAGCTTTGTCTGATCAAATTTGAATCAGATGTCAATGATTTTCTTTTCTAAACTATTATTTTAATTTGCAATTTCTCTGCGAAAGTGACTTGCGCATTTCTTGCTTGTACAGGAAGCTATGGAGAAACTAAAAAAAAAACCTTTTCGAGTTAGAAAAGTGAATGTAACTTCTACATTTTATATTGTAGTAAGGTTTCAAGTGTACCGTTGTAAATCAGACAATGCCATCTTTACATGGAGGGTAGCTTAAAATTATGGTATTGAAGAGACTGTCCTTGTCATTTTAAGTGAATATCATAGTGCATACCCAATACGGTACCCTTTAATAATGCGGAGGATATCGTCACTTTTCTTTAGCTTAAACTGTTGAATTCTGACAATAAAAATGAATTGCTTCTGCAACAGAAATGCGCCAGTTGCGTTTACAAAAAAATACTTTGTTTGAAAATAATTAATTTTCAATGTTATTTGTTTTATTCAAACAACCCTTAAAAATCGGACATTAACTCTTCAAAAAAGGGGTCCCTTGTAATTACGACAACGTACGTTCTCAAAAATAAGCTTTATTGTTAGGCGAACTATGTTGTCATTGGATTCGGATCCACAGCACTTGGTTTAATAGGTAAACACATTTTTCGGCGGAAATAAAAATATAGTTTTAGTTTTAACAAATGCTTTTTTTTTTGTTTTCTTGTCGTTTTAAGAAATGTAAGACAAAAAAGATACCATCGAATTTGCATTTACAAATATAAAACTGTTTAAAACCTATTATTAAATTGAAAAATTACAAGTAGGAACTATATTTTAGGAAGATATCCATCTAAAATAACGAAGTTACCAAAATAACCTATATTTTAGGAAGATATCCATGTGACACAATTAAGTTACCAATAGAATTATATTTTAGGAAGATATCCATGTGAAATAACTAAGTTACCAATAGAATTTATATTTTAGGAAGATATCCATGTGAAATAACGAAGTTACCAATAGAATTTATATTTTAGGAAGATATCCATGTGAAATAACGAAGTTACCAATAGAACCTATATTTTAGGAAGATATCCATGTGAAATAACGAAGTTACCAATAGAACCTATGTTTCCAACTCAACTAGGAATTTATCTAAAGAAGAATTCATCTTTGACAAAAATATTTGAGTAAGAAATCATACTATATGGATTTTATGTTTGTATGTTGGTCTAGAAAAGTTGTATGAATATGTTGTTACGGAGTTTGTTAAAAGTCTACTAAAAGTTGACTTTAGCATACTTGCCATGAATTTGGCATCACAAACTCGTTGTAGATATTAGTTTCTCATCCAAGTTTTGGCCAAGTTTGAACTTGAAATAAAACTGGTATTATACGTCGAAAATGTCTTGACTTCAAGATACCATGGTTCTAAACTGGGCTAAGCTTGAAACAAAACTTTGCAACAAACTTAAGTCTCTTTGTAACTTGTAAAATATACCTTGATTATTTCGACTTTTTAATACCAGTTCTGAACTTGTCAAAACCTTGGAACAAAATTTCAGACAAAACTTAAGTCTAGCTCAACTACGCTTTAGTCAAGTTTGAATTTGGAATACTGGTTTATGGATGGTAAAAAAATTGTGTTTAGAAATGGTAAAAAAGTTGTGCATAGAAATGGTGAATACAATTGATATGCAAATTTATGGTTAAAAGTTGTAAAAAAGTGGCGCGTAAAAGTGGTAAAAAAGTTTACTTTAAAATTTGATAAAAAGACAACTTAAAAAGTTACCTTAAAATGTTTACAGAGAGTCGACAAAGGTGATTAAAAGTGTGTAAAAGTGAAAAAAGGTGTAGAAAATTATAAAAAAAGTTTTGTCCCAAAACGGAAAAAAACCTCGTCTAAAAGGTTCAAGAAATCTAAAATAATAGTCTATATTTGGCATGACTAATTTCGAGAATGGTTTGAGGATTTGTTTATTTTATTCGTGGATTTCTTCCTTGATAAGGCGGACGATATTAATTCAAATTTGTACTTTTCTAGAATATTGTGTATTTTTCAGGGAGCAGTTACAGTTGTTGCAAGAGGGTGGAATCGTCAATACAATCCAGATACAGGCTGATCGGTATCAATAATTTATTATCTGACATAAATAAATCTTACAAGATTATAATTATAAAGACCTATAATGATTTCTCACATCATTAATTCGTAATAGCTCAATATTTGAATGCATTACTCCAATATTTCATTTAGTGTCAATTTTAAGAAATTAAGAGAACACAGTTTTGAAATGGAACGTCCAATTTACATCAGAACCCTTTAAAGACTGTAAGAGATATCAATTATCTTCACTTTTAAACTTATTCTTTTACAATTAGCTTGAAATTTACGTTACAGGGAAGAGAGTAGGAAGTACAAGGTTTGTGAGAACACTAATCTCAAGCTCGGTATCCAGGTAGACATTATTAATTTCTCATTTAAAAAAAAAAAAATTTTAAACGATTAAAATTATTTTTTATTATATTTGTATAAAAGCAGNTCCAACCGAACTTTTGATGAGCTCTTCTTATTCAATCCAAACATTGAATATTTGTTCAGGGAACAATATCAATGTTTATCGTGGTTGGTGTTGGCATAGGAGCAGGACTGTGTCTCCTTATCCTGGAGCTAATCATAAAACCTCCCTGTACACAGAAACGTAAACCCAAGCAGGTGTGGGGCACCTTGAGAGAATTTCAGAATAAAAAGTTTTGAATATTTTATCTTGTGATTTTGCATCTTTGTGTCTGTTACACTTTGTAATTGTATGAGAATCAATAAACTATGACAAATTGAAAATGAATAAATATTTATAGTCTTCAAATCATTTAAATATGCTTTCTGGTAAATTTGATTGTTTTCTAATGTGGATATATATATAAACCAATGTTTTACATTCACTATATTTAAATGCACAATTTAGATCTTAATCATTTCATTATGTATGTTAAATAAAAAAATAAGCTGCAAATAAATGACATTAAAACGACTTATGATAGCCTGCTTTGATGGTGTACTGTTACCGGAAGAACTAGGCAAATTCATAAAAGCAGATTTACAATATTTAAAAATACGCATTCGATATCCAGGAAAGAAGTTAAAAATTTAACCAATCAGTGTGTTATGTTAAGATGTACTCTTTAACTTTTGAAAAACGGGTTTTGATTTCTGAGCCCATTCTCTCCATAGAAAGTGGTCGTGTATTTCACGTACTTTGGGGGACAATATGTTGGCCGCTAGATGTCTCGTGCTAAATTCTTATCTGATAGATAGATATTTCTCCGTACATTTCACGACCAAAATAGGAGACGTCAAGTTGTCGACCAATGTAGTTTATGGAAGGAACGGCCTCTGGAGTTGATAGTGTCATATCAATCGAACTAAACATCGATTGAACGAACGTAAGTTTTGGACTAATGTTTACTAACATTCAAAATGACTATAGTCCTTAAATTTGACAAAATATGTTTTTAATTAGTTCATATACACATGATTAAATTCATATTTGTTTAAACACTCTAAAAGCCCGCTTGTGAACAGCTGACTTTAGTTCAATCAGATATTAGTCCAATCGATATAGCATCGTTTTTGTAATAGTTATAAAAAGTAATTTTTAAACAGTAGTGGAAATCCAAAAAGAGAGGATTAAGAAGAAAATGAAAAGTGTGTTCATTGGATACTCATTCTAAAGTTTTCAGCTCAGAGCTGAAAACTTTAGAACGGGGGATATTGGATTAATGCTTAAACTCCTGGGTTTACTAAACCCAAGATTATTTTAAAACGAATATTATATATCCAGGAAAAAAAGTTAAAAATTTAACCAATCAGCACGGTCATGTTGAGATGTACTCTTTAATTCAATCGTATATTAGTCCAATCGATATAGCATTGTATCTGTAATTGTTATCAAAATTAACTTATATACAGTAGAAATATCCAAAAAGAGGATTATATGAAGAAAATCAAAAGTGTGTACATTGGATTCTCAGATTTAGCGATCGTGATTAAGGATATCTCATTCTAAAGTATTCAGCTCTGAGTATCTTTTGGTTTGTTTGTATTTTAAGTTAACGTTACAGTAGCTGAACAGTTTTTGTCTCAATATATTTACGATTAAAATTTGCTTTGGAAATCCATTGATGAAAAATAAGAGATTGCGAAATAGTACATATGAACAAGTAGAGTTTGAAGTTAAAGTAACATTTTAAGTTTAATTCAAGGAACAATCTTCTGTTAGCCGCCATAAAAGCATTGGCTAAATCTGTTAAGTTAAGAATTTATAAAATATTTGATAGCGTGAGAACTAAGAGATCTGATGGCAAATTGACCTGAAAGCAAGTGTTCGAGTGAAAGCAAAATATTTTACAGACTCAACATGTTTATTAGGACTAAATCTGCAAAAAAAAAGCTTTTTTGATATAAGGTTCATTATGTAACCCTTTTAATTGCTGAAGAAGATTATTATTATTATTGCATTGATAATTATTAACGTACCAGTGATCGATCTAGTAGATGATCTAGATTAAAACTTTTAGCTTAACTAAATATATGTGACTTATCATTCCCTTTACCAACAAATATTTGATGGAAAAATTAATTATTTTGTACGAATGGTAATTAATTGTTGTTTTATTAAAAAAATGTATTCATACTGACATCAAGTATTTTCCATTTCTTAAATGGAGCGTACACAAATTCATCAGAATGAAATTAGCCTAAAACCATTTTTAAATTTCATACTTTAAAAGAAAAAAATATAATAATGTTATTTTACCCACATTGAATGAAAATTAAAACAAAATTGGCATATAAAAATAGGATTCAGATATAACGAAGAAAGTATAAAACAGCCCCTTTGATTAAGTATTTAAGTTTTTGTGTTCAATAGATGGTATAATGATGTAAATATATTTAACCATATTATTTCGCCTAAACCTAAATTGTATTCAGGTTTAACACGAAGACATTAAATATAAATACTATAATACTAAAATACTAAAAATTAAACAAAACATAGCAATAAAAACAAATGAGGTAATAAAATGAATGAATTGTTGAATTTAAGGGAGTGTGAATGTAAATTTAATGTTTCCACATGATTAAAGGTTTGCATGTCAGATTCACAACTGTTGTTGTGCCGATTACACCCTTATCTTAAAACGTTTCTGAGTATATATATTCGTGGCACCCTCGACTTCTCAGAGCTTGGTGTCTTCAATTTTCTCTTTAATTTACAAAACATGATAAGGACCGAAATATTAGGTGCAGGTGCAGTGCATTTTACAGAGACAACACAATTGATAACAAAGGGTCAAACGACATAGGGTCAAACGACATATTGGTCAAGCGACAAACGGTCAAAATAGAAAAAAAATGTTTTATGTATTATTTCAAGGTTAGGTTGTTAAGACTATTTTTGGACCGAGCGCTGCAGATAGGACAGGTTAGGGACCGTGCGCTGCGGCTACTAGTTCTAATGTACATAAAGATAGTTTTAATTAACCAAAAATAGTCCAAATGAAGTTTTCCCGTTTGTCACACTTTTTGACCCAATGTCGTTTTACCCTTTGTCACGTTTTTTACCGTTTGTCGTTTGACCATATGGCATTTGACCCTATGGTATTTGACCCTAGGACGTTTGACCCTATGGTATTTGACCCTAGGACGTTTGACCCTATGTAGGTGAATCGCAAAAATTCTTGTCGATTTTTGCCTGAGAGCGAGACCTTTAAATCACAGTATACTCTAGAAATGAAGGATCTCTTAAAATTACTTTGACAGTTCCTCTAGTACTACAACCAATGCAAACAGGGTTTCCAAAACCAAGGATAGATCCATGACCGAAATTAAATGAATTTGAAAGATGTAGCTGAACTCAACCTGCGCCGGTTTAAATCCTGAATCCTGTCATAATCTACTTCTAACATTTGTAAAAATCTCTTCATGTTTGTGTTCATGATTTTTTAAAAAAAAATTATGCAAATAAATTATGAAATCCCAATTTTATCTTTTACCAAAAATCCCTGTAAAAACAAGAAATCGTCACTTGTAAACTTTATTTGGACACCCCTGAGTCCATCGAATAAAAACTAAGTTTGTAATTATACTATTTACAAATTAAGTTCTTTAATACAGGGTTACCTAAAAAGGATGAGGCTTAAGAATTTATATTGTTACTCATTTGTTACTCATTGCACACAAAGCTCTGATAAAATGGAAATACAAGGAAATTCTTTAGTTTTCAGTTTCTGGAAAACGACATTTTGAATCCATTGTTTAAAATTTGTAATATTGTTTTTTTTTTTGCTTTTTCTTTCACTTTGATTTCTATTATTTGTATGTTTGCTTTTTTATTAATTTCTGTAACCTTTTTAATCTTATTCTTTTTTAGTTTTTTTAAATCTTTCATATTTCCGATCTTAGTTTATTTTGTTTCTTTTTCATATCTTTCATAATCTTGAAATATTTTCCCATAGTCGTTTTCTTTCTGGTATTTTATTTTTACTTGACGTTTTGATTGTGTTTTTAATTTTACTTTCGTCGTTAATCTCCATATATTTTTCCTCCTATGGCTTATTCTCCTTACTTATTTTTATATATTACGTTTTTGCTATCTTCACTAGCCCCTTCATCTGCCCTTTCCTCAACTGTAAACATCTCCTATGCTATCTAGTTACTGCGTTTTCTATTTATACTTTATATTTATATATATGTGCATCCTCTTCAGTTTTCCCCCTTAAAGGGAATGTAAACGGTCAAATATCCCTTCTTTCATAGAAAGGTGTGTTCAATTCAGAACAGATACACTTTTCTATAAATTGTCTGTCCAAGAATGAAAGAGCTAGGCATGCAGCTCTGCTCTTTTTGAAAATCAATAATCTATCTGTTTCTGCGTAAAAGTGACTGTGCGAAGTTGCAGATTTATGTGTACAGAGCCCGGGCCGCGATTTAAAAACTTCGACTCGAGCCGTAATTCTTTGAACCCGACTTTATGACCCAATCTTCGACCCAACTCTGACGACAGCTTGTGTCACGTGATTGACAGCTGCAAGATCTTCGACTCGACTCGACTCGGAGTTAGGCCCAATAAAAATAACCGACCTTGGTTGGTTTTAGTGGAGAATAAGGCTCAATGTTGAGTCTTGTTCTCATAAAAACCCAGAATTCGCCAATTCCTTTCATGATAATCCACCAAATAGAATATTAAACTGGTTTTTTGAACTCAACTCTGTTGAAAATAAGATGCAGCTTGAATCCGAAAGCTCAAGTCGTAAATAAGGCCCAATGACAGCTTAGACCCGAGCCGTATTTCCCCGAATTTTTTAAATCGCGGGCTCAGAAAATATTTGGATTTAATTCCAGAAAGAAAAAAAATAATTTTTATGCTAGACAAGCGACGATATATTTCACATTATTAATCAATAAAGGGTTTCCTTGTTTATTGAACATGCCCCCCTCATAAAATAGAAGGTCAATAAACATCACAGCGATCAGTCCCTTTAAGGTCTCCATAATCCATTTGTTTTGAGTCCCAATAAAAATGGGAATTGCTTTAAAAAATTTCAAATCTTCGAAAAGTGGCCTGTCATTGTCTATTTTTGTTTTTGGTTTTTTAAATAAATTAAAATTGTCAAAATAAAATATCTTCCCGTCAAATTTAAAGATACTGGCAAGTATTTTTGAAATCAAATGACAGATGGTTTTTAAGTCGCTTAACTTAATATAAAATAATATAATTTTCTGTCTTTTTAAGACACCCGTAGATTCTTTCTGAACAGCTGGTGTTTTGACTCAACTTCCGGATGTTTTTATTTTCTGTTTCCTTTAATTGAAATTTAATATTTTTAGATTATTTAGTTTCGCCTCGGGATACTTTAACTATTCAACTAAACTAAATGTAGAAATATACAGTTCATTAACTTTACGTTTTCTCAAAAACACTGAAAGGGACTGGTGACGAAGTTTGTTAAGTGCCCCTTCATCTGTAAAATAATATCTTCGGGTCACATAACGCAAATCTGCCTCTTTAGTAAAATTCAAGCTAAAGTCTGACCGGGTTAACCTTTTTGCACCGGCTAGTCCTGTCCATAGAGCTAGGTACAGTACAAAGTGGGACCGGAAAGGTTGACCCGGCTTGGAAATTCAAATGTAAATCCCGATATTAGAACTGAAACAAATCCGTTCCATAAATCCAAGTGTTTGTTTATGTTTAAGAATCTTGCGCTTTGCCGCGTAGCATAACCAGAGTCCGCTGCAGGTACGAGTTCTCTCCCGGCATCACACCGGCTTGAAAATTCAAATGTACTACGGCAGCCCGTGTTAAAACCTTTGTTTAATCAGGGATGAGACATACACGTCCTTTTTTTGGTTTTAATTAGGGTTTCCAGGGAAGCCAACTTTCGCGCTATTCTAAACAAATTTCCTTGCGTATTCGGCAAACTTTTGCTCATTGCACGGAAACAGGCGCAAACGATGAGCAATTCTGCGCAAAACATAGGGAAGCCAAGTCTCAATTTTCCACTCTCAAAATGCGAAATTTGCGTTTTTTATATCGACACTTAAAAGATCAACAATAATTCCCGATTCAAAGCTTTGTTGAATATATTAAACAGTACTTTTAGAAAAGAGTGTCTGTTCAAAATTTATTTAATTAATTTATTAAATACAATCCATTCTGTTCAGTGTCAACCAATTATCCAGCCATGCGGCTCCATTTGTATTGTAAAGTCTCCATTTTTTATTCAGTCTCCATTTTCTCTTCTCTTTAATATCTTTTAACAAATATTTTTTTAATTCTCTATTTTACGAATCAAGCTCTTCTTTCACGCACAACCTAAATTTTTACATTAATTTCCAATTTAGCCTCAGTATATGAAATGACCTCCAATTTATTAAGTGCTCCATTTTCTTTGATAGTCTCCAATTTTACTATATACAGTTCAACTTAATTTTGTCCAGCCTTTACATTTCTTCTAGAAGGGTTGTTTTCTCCAGCCTTTAATCTTTCAAAAGCAGCCTCTATTTTCTTTCAAGAGCAGCATCTATTTTCTTTCAAAAGTCCAGTTCTCCATGAGCCCTCTATTTCCAATCCAGCCAAGACTGTTCATTCTCCATTTTCCAATCCAACCTCCATTTTCTTTCTCCCTCTCCAGAATAGTTTTCTTGTTTTCGATTTTGATCTTATTAATATCTCCATCGTTCCGTTGGCAGTTGGTTGCCAGTCCTAGATTTCCTCCGAGTTGGTTTAAACTATTTTTCTTTTTGGATATTTGGGCTTGTTTCAAGAACCCGCCCATAGCCTAAATAAATAAATATTAGTTATCATAAAATTCTTTAGAAAATGTTGAAATTAGAACTGATTTCGTTAGTATTTTATCTTAATATGGTTTGTTAGATTAACGATGTTACCATTCTATTTTTCTAAATTAACATTCAGAAGGGGTTCCTTTTTTTGGCCGGTATGTGGGTATTTTTAAATCTGAGGATCAATGCTTAGTCCCTTTGTTTAAGTTTATGAACACCATATAAAGATATCTAAGATAAATTAAATCAATCCGTATCTACATAAGATGGAGATTATCAATACAAAAGTTCTAACTTCAGTTTAAACAAAAAAAGCTACAGTTAATTTGTCTATACTTTAGCTGGATTTAACGTAGATTTTCAAAAATTTGTAGGTTTTTGGCTTCAAATTCAAAAAAAGAGAAATTCTAGTTCGGGGGTTAAAAAATTCTAGACTAGGCTAAAAAATATATTCCTTAAAAAAACATTTTGTTCTTAAATTTTGCTACCATAAATTGGTAAACATTTATATAATACTTACAAAGTCTGGGTGAAAATTGGAAATAGGAGGAGCAAAATTCTGCAGAAAATACCTTTAGCATTATCTTAAAGCATAAAGGTATGAGAAAACAGAGGTTTTATATTTTTCTTTAATGCAACTTAAAAAATGTAATCTACATAAAAGCTGTTTTAGAATGATGAAAAGTTTTGAATATTTTATCTTGTGATTTTGCATCTTTGTGTCTGTTACACTTTGTAATTGTATGAGAATCAATAAACTATGACAAATTGAAAATGAATAAATATTTATAGTCTTCAAATCATTTAAATATGCTTTCTGGTAAATTTGATTGTTTTCTAATGTGG